TTCTGCCGATCGCGGAGCCTTTAGGAGCGGAGGCCCGTTCCGCTCCTGTCAATCACCGGGTGAGGAGGAAACGTGGCCCCAGCGAGACACTCATGCCCTGAGCTCCTACAAAAATCTCGGTGTCCCGTTTTGGATATCTGGAATATTTCATTACAGCTGAAGACAGGAATGTTCTCACTCGTTTAGTCAGGCTTGAAAGTCCCGCATTTAAGATTTGAACAAGGGGGGGGGGGGGATGCTTGTGAAATTGCCTAAAAAAGAATGTATGTTATCAACGTGGGATGTTTAGACTGAAACTAAGGTTCCTCCACTGCCAGTGGCCAGACGCCACCTGCTGATCTCAATGGACAGACTGACGACAGCCAATGAGGTGTGCGGCATGACATTGGAAGGGGATTGTGGGAAATTGCCCCTTTTTGGGAGGGACGCCATAGTCCGTGCCGCCCCAACCTCCACTGAAATTGTACACAGACTCCATGTGTGTCGCAAGAGGGCATCTTCACAAAAAACAGCACAGCCTTACACAAGAGCGAACCGTAACTGAGTCAGAGTCTGCACACTTCCACTTCATTCTCTGGAAAAATCCTAAATGACCTCAAAAACACTTTAACAAAGGCGTCAGCTTGAGGGAGGGAGGTGACCCACTTCTGACATTCCAAAAAAGCCTCTTTCTCGCAAACCCCCACCTACACATTTTTTTTGCAGTGCAGGTGAAGTTCACTCCATTCCCACCCGCTCTCAGAAATTAGCTGGCCACATCCCACTAACAGCAAATGTATTTCAATTCTGTTATAGCACACCGAATGAGAATGAAGGCCGCTTCCCAAGGCCCAGGGGATGGAAGAGCAGGTCCAAGGTCACCTGCTGCCAGACGGGAACATGACCCTTTGCCAGGTTACACTTCCTCCACAGACATGCATCTTCCTCTCAGTGCCAATTCCATGTAAGGGGACCGGCCGGCTGGAGCAGAATCATTTAGTCCTAAAACTTTCCAACATCACCCCGTCTCCCTGCACCACCCGACACTTAGCTCTTGCATGTAACCAATCGACACCATCATGCAAAATGATGGAAGGCTTACATGTGAAAACAAAAACAGCAAATGCAATGGCGAGCAGGGTCACGCCAAAGGGGCGGGGGGTGTCCATCATTACCCCACGCTTGAACGGTGATGTAAGTGTGGGGGGGGGGGCGGCTCATCTTACTCCGTAGCTCCTGCCATGGGGTACAGGTCTGGTCTACATCACAGCCAGTTCCCAAGTGAGAACTCCCAAACCCTTCCCGGACTGGCCCACAAGCCCGTGCAGGCTGCCATGACGGTCGCTAGGCAACCACCTCCAAGCCTGCCTTTTCCATCACTATCTACAGTGTGGGGGTTTGGGGGTGGGGGTGGGGTGCTCAGGGTCCTAAACTCCAGCTCCAAGAATGACATTATCCAGCTGCTGCTGTTTATACTGGGAGGAAGACACCACCCCGCCCCGCCCCATAAAAGCTCCCTCGACTCCCAGCACGTTGCTGGATGCAGTGGTGCCAGCACTGGAGAGACCTGGACTGCAGGTCCAGTTGCCTTTTCCCAACTAATATGGCCTTAGCTGAGGCGAGTGGGTGACGCTGTTTACGGCGCTCTGGCATACACACGTACACACACACACACACACACACGCACGCACGCACACACACCAAAGGCCTGCTTCGGGAGTTCCCGAGTTTCTGGCATGCCTGGGTGCTGTTTGTCAGACGGTAAACGGCCCCGGAGTGAAATTCCCACTGCAAGAGCAGACAGGAACAGCCGCAGGGGGCCTTCGATCGGCGCCCAGCCAAAGCGGCACCTCTTTCCGGGATTAGAACCAGTGACCTTCTGGTCACAAACGTACCCACACAATGACTCCTCCCCAACACCCTCTAGCAGAATGAAGAATTAACACGGGCCTTTCTTCCCCACCTCAATGTCTTCAGCGCAGGAGATGCACGAGTGTAAAGTGCAGGCGAGAAACCCCCCCCCCATAACTGCAATGGAGAGAGTCTCAGCTTTCTGCTTCATTCTGCACATCTGATGTGCATTACACTTGGCATTCTACCAGAGCGAAGGGCGTCCATGGAATGGGGCTCACCGTCCAGACAGCGCCTGATTCAGGCTGGGGGGCGGGGATGGATTGGCAGTCGGGCTCTCAATATACGGTAAGTGACCCCGAGTTCACATCCAATGCAATATGACCTCTGGGATAAAAATGTTAATTGGGTTATAATGAAAAGGCACTCCGGTGATTCAGCCGTACGGGCACAAGGATGCCTTGCAAATCATATTAGCTAAAGCACAACATTGGCTGTTCGCCCCCATGCATCCCTCTGCAAGATTTCCTGATTTTCTGCAAAAAAACAACAACACTCCACCTCTGGGAGATTTGCCACCAGACTCATTTATTTATTCGCAGAGGTGCCAAGAAGTAAAAATAACAGCCCTGCATTTGGTGCTTGATTGTATTTTATGGATGAGAATCTTAGGAGAGCTTTATAGAAAGCAAAATTTTAAACTGAAAAAAGGGAGTGGGGGTTATCAACAAATATTCATCCACACTGGCACAACAAGCTCCGACGAGGTTTTCTGCATTACACAAATAGTTTCTGCAAGTCACACAAACTGACTTTATTTCATTAACTTTGTGGGTGCAGTGGTAAACTTGCTGAAAGGGCCAAAAACAACATTGCGCCAACAATGACACCTACTGGACATATGTAATGTTACAGCCCTTCAAGACCATTTGAAAACAAAAGGTACAATAAAAATACACGCATTAATCAGCACAAAAACAAGTTTCTGCATTCTCACAACATACCTTGACTACAAACTTGCTGACTGACATTCTGGGGATGACCTTGAAAACAAGAAATGAAGCAAATTATTTATAAAAATAAAGAAAGAAAAATTTTACTAAATGCATCTTAGCCGGTGGTTAACGATCTATATGACAGAAAATTTAGATTTAGATTTATCAAAATAAATCAATTACAATGAGCACAGAAAAAAAAAAATCTGTAAATTAGGCTTCTCTCCCAAAACACTTTTCCATTCTGCCATACTTCTACTCTTGGTTTTTGTTTTTCCAAATAAAGTGATGTAATCGCAATAATGTTAATTTCAGCGCTGTTAAACAAACTAAAGCACGATGACCTTATATCCACCCATGGCCTTTTATAGTAACTTAAGCGCTAACCTTATAAAATGTCTATTGCTGATCATAATAAAGTGCGCAGTATGCCCCTACACCAGTGAAACCTAAGTATGCGGTGAAAGACCCTGGATTAAACAAATAAGCGGTATGTTGCTGAGCTCGGCAAGTGCGGTCACATAAACATACATAAGGCATCACGACATAACGGCAAGAAAACCATGTGCGACTGGAGGAGTGAACATACACGGGAAGAGGGGAAGGCAAATCGGGGAAATCTAGTACAATATTAAGATTTATTGAGACCAGGATTTGTTTTCATATGGTAATTTGGTATCCTACAGGATATAAGCCCTTTTGGGAGAAAAAAGACAGTCCTCGCAGCGGTGTCAGAGTGTAATATGAAGACATGGTAGGGAAAAAAACCTCAGAAGTACTCAGCTACCTGGGTCTATGAGCATTGTACATCACCCCGGATTGTAATTCGCCTGAACGATAGTACAGGAATAAAACAGATCAAACGAACAAGCCATCTTGTTACGACAAAGTTACCATCATATACTAATACACATGCAGATATAGACACATATATCATTATCAGTGAAGCCAAAAGATGATTATAACATATTTAAGTAGATCCCATCTCAAGCCGACAAATAATGTCGACTTTCATAAAGCTTCAAACGAAAACAAATAAGATGAAAATTATTCCATTATTCAACCTACCAGTTTCACCCGCCGTATGATTTGAATGTTTATTACGTGTTTGAAGGACCCCAACTTAATAGCTGCCCTGGTGGAAGCCGGACAAAATTGGCAAAATTTCTTACTATCGTACACATAAAAATAAAGAGCTTTTATAATTTCCAGTAAAAAGAAATAGTGATTGAATGGAAAGGAATATAGTCAAAATAACAATATATGTTTTGTTCATAGTAAATAGTTTTATATTTAGACCGATTACAAAGGCGCTTTAAAAGGAAAGGTTTGGTTGTACTAAAAAAAAGGACCCATGATGGCTGCCGCTTGAAGGTGATGCATGTATTTTACGACTGTTGCAAGACTTATTTGCAGTTTTTTTTTTGTATTTGTCATAGTTTGCAGACTTATCTAGTGTTTAATTTAGGAACATTAAGAGATTTGCGTACAAATCAACTTAAATGGCAAGATGAGGTTGCCACATCTTCAGTGAATCTTGATTAATTTTAAAAAATCACTTTTTTTGTTAACAGACATTCGGTTCCGTTATTTACTTTGGAACATTTGCAGTACATAGTGCTCGGTTAGTAATTGTACTCATACGTTCACGTATAGTTGGTTTTGGTTCTCCTGCTGATATGGGTCTGACAAGTATTTGGAAACAGTACAGAGTTCTCATTGTAATGGGCACGAGCCTTGGACTCATCCACTGGGGCTGGTACACTTTGAAGTCTCACCCACTACTACGGAGGAAAGAAGAAGAGTACATCCCAGAACCCGGAATAGTGTCCTACGTGGCCCCCGACGTGCCCTCCAAGAGAAATTAGTTCGTATGCGGTATTGAGGTATGTCCTGTTTGCTTTATATGTATACTTATGTAGTATCTTAGTAGCAGCAGCAGTCAGTCGTGTTTATCCATATTATTTCATATTAAGGTCATTTCTTAAATTTAGGGCGTTAGGTTTCCGTTCTTCAAATAATTTTGCACAAGGACGTGACCTTGAAAGGGTGAAGTATCTGAATTCAGCACCCCCGCATGAAATGTATGATATGATCTTCTGTATCACACCTATGCAGTTGAATGAAATAGAACTTTGGACAATTGCTTTAATACTTTTCATGTTATCTCAGCACTGACACCTGTCTGACTGACCACTCATCGTAACGGCGCAGTCATGAAGAAGCCAAGCTGGCTGCGGAAGAACTGGCTCTGGGTTGCGGGTGCAGCCTTCGTCGGCATCCACTTTGGCACGTGGCTCATGCAGCAGGCAATGAAAAGCTCAGCTCGTTCGGAGAAAGTGATACAAAAGAGGAGCTTGGATGAGTGATTCGATGGACTGCAAATAAGCCGTCTTTTCTTTGTCCCTTGGGAACATTCTGTTTTAAACACGGACTTTCATTAGATTGTGTATTCTCTGTGAGCCTGATGGACATTATCCCTGCATTTTTAATGACATTGTGGCTTCAGTGATATCCGGCTTCAGTCGTGCTTTGCATCTGGAGGACAATGTCGCGCCTGTCTCAGAAGCAGCCCTCCATCTGCACAGCTGTTCCTCTGACAGACCCCGACGTCTCCCAGAAGCTGGCCCTGCTGCGGCAGGTCCTCACGTCCTGCTTCGGCCCCTGGGGCAGACTGAAGCAGGTCCACAATAACGTGGGGGGGGCCATAATGACCACCTCCACTTCGTCGGTGCTGCTAAAGGCCATCCAAGTTTCCCACCCCCTGCTGAAGCTTCTGGTTGCGAGCATCCTCAACCACACCTCCCGCTTCGGCGACGGTGGCTTATTTGCCGGGATCCTGAGCCTGTGTCTCCTGGAAAACGCCCTGCGGTTGGGCGTGGACCAGGCTGTGGCAGTGGGCGTGTACAATAGGCTGCTGGGCCTCTGTGATGCCTACCTGGTCCGGGACGACTGTGGCTGCAAGATCAGGGTGGACTTCAGCAGCACCCAGACCCTGCTGACTTTGGCCCATGGGCTGCTGGCAAGTAAGCCGGCCTGCGCCCTGACCCCCGCCGAGGTCAAGCACGTGGCCCTGCAGGTCACGCGGGCATTCCTGCTGACTGTCCCGTGTGGCACCCGGGGACGGGACCGTCTGGGGGCTGCCGTGGTGGTACCTGTGGAGGGACAGCCCCCCTGGGCCTCGGCTGCCCTGGGGGGGCTGCTTGTGGACATGCCGGAGTCTCTGCACCCTGCCGATTTGGAGCTTCAGGGTAGCACGCTGATCCGGCTGGCCCTGTTTAGCGTGTCGCTGGCGGGAGACCTTCCGGAGGCTGGAGACGGGCCTCTGGAGCTGCATGGAGAGACGTGCCTGGAGGAGGCAGTGCTGGAGCAGCTCCTGAGACTGGCCGACCAGCTGGTCTCCGACGGGGTGCAGCTCTTGGCCTGCCAGAAGGTGGTGCACCCTGTGCTGCAGCACTACCTGAGGGTGCGTGGGGTCATCGTAGTGGAGAGGCTGGGGCTCGCCATCATGGAGCCTCTCGTCCAGATGACAGGTGTGCGCTAAACCAGACATGCTTAATTCCACTAATTATTGTTGTTGAGCTAATAGAGATGTGATCCACCTGTTCTTATAGTAATCACTGGATCCCAAGCCATTCCTGGCGCACCTGCAGCCAATCCATACATTTAATTCCTCTGTGTCATACTGGATTTTTAACCCAGATTTCCTGTCAGTCCTCATTTTTGCTCCTTCCGAGCTACTAGCCAATCAAGAATGCCAAATACCTAGTACGGGTATGTTAGAAGCTGGGAGGAAGCGAAAATGTGGACGGTCGGTGGGTCCGTGAGGACTGGGATGATAAACATTGGATTAACGTAATCAGACTGTCTGAGTAATAGAGCTGATGTATGGGATGGCTAGATTGATTTTAATTTTTAGGAACTAATGAAGGATTTGCTAATTTGTTGGTTGTAATGTTCAGTAAAACATCTGCGCTGGAAATCCACTTGTTGAACTTCTGGTTCTGGTTTGCGTGTTGGTCCCGCGTTGCTGCCGCAGATGCACAGCCGCTGGCCACCTTCCAGGCCCCTGTCCCCGGCGTCTCCTACGGGCAGCTGGGGGGCCTTAGCCTGCACCAGTGCGGCTCCAGAGCGATGCTGCACCTGCTCCCGGCCGGAGAGCCGGCGACATGCACCCTGGTGCTCTGCCACCGGAACCAAACGGCACTCGCTGAACTCAAGGTGGGCTGCCAGAACCACGGTGGAACGTCGTCATATTTGAAGTGGTGGGGCTTAGTGGCACAGTGACACTGCATGAAAGCCACAGGTTCAGTTTTTGTCTTTGGACTGAATTTGTGGTCAGGATAACAGCATAATCTTTTGAGTTGTATTTTAATGCCCTTTAGTGACCCAATTTCCACCACTTTTCTAGCTTCTCTGTATAATATTGATGTCACGCTGCGCCATGTCACATGATTATGATGTCACATGATTATGATGTCACATGATTATGATGTCACATGATTATGATGTCACATGATTATGATGTCACATGATTATGATGTCACATGATTATGATGTCATTATCCTCCTCCAGGTGTCGTGTGAGAGGGCGGGGCAGGTGCTGAGGCTGATGCTGAAGGAGCCCTTTGCGCTGCTGGGAGGGGGCTGCACCGAGACGCACCTGGCGGCTTTTGTCAGGCACGAGGTGGGCAGCCCGTCCTGTTTAGCGTGGACCCAGTTTGGCTTGAATGGCGGATGAGTGAGATGAAGTGGGAGATTAAGCTAATCGCTGTAGCATCTCTGTAAGGAGCAAGTCAAAATGACAGCAAGTGCCCTGGAGTCCAGCAAGGCCTTTTCTGGCATTAGCCGGTGGAATACTTTGACCTTTGACCTCCTTGCTTCGCAGAGCAGCAGCGACGTCACAGAAGCCGTGCGTGAACTGGGCTGCTCTCGCCACGACTACATGCGGGTGGTGGGTGCGTTTTGCCACTCTCTGGAGAGTGTGGCCCGGGCACTTGGGCAAGATGGTGGAGTGACCCTGACTGATCTATGCCATGCCCACTGCTGGGGCATACCGGCTGCTCCGCCTGCTGATGTGCCGTGGGTGGAGCTGGTGCGCTCTTGTGGGTGTGGTTTAATGAGTGGCCACTCGGGCCTGGAATGGAACCTCATTGGCACAGAGTACCCTTCGTTTTCTCCAGCACTCAATCTGGGCACAGAGTCTCTGCCATGTGTACTGGACTCATTCTTTGCCAAGGCCAATGCCCTGCATGTTGCCGTGGAGAGTGCAAATCTCATACTAGATCTGAAGTATGTCATTCAAGACAGAAATTAGCAGGGTTGTCGATCTCTGTACAATTTACTGGTCTGAGCTCCGTGATTGTAACCTGATTCTCAATAAATATGAAGCAAATTAAGTTTTGACTGTTGCTGTAATCCCAGATTCATTGTTATAAATGAGCACAAGGTGGCAGCATTGCATCTGCCTGAACGTTGACTGCCTATAAGCCTATCCTAGCAGCTGGAAAATAAAACCAACAATTTATGCGGGCCTATGAGAAACGCACAGAATTGATAACGCTGCTTTTTAAAATGAACAGCACTGGCTTAAGTGTCCTAATAGTAATTTGACACTTTTGTTTGATTTAATGAACTGGAATTGGGCTTTGGAAAACTGCAGTAGAAGTAGTGAGTACAGCTTGCCACTTTTATACACCGTTTATGAAATCACTGGCGATGATATTGTGACGGATTAATGGGGAATATTTCCTAATCGCCAGGGAACGATGTATTGTTTGGGACACGCTAATAGTGGTGTCAATTATTAATATTTGATGAATAATGATTAATTTTATTGTTCCCCACATATGAAGTGTTAATTTACTTTATTTAGTTAATTGTAGGTAAAGTCAATACTTGATTAGGGTGTTAAGTTTATTACTAAGCTCCAGGCCTTATTAATAGGGTGGCGTCATTCTCTAGAGGAGATTTCTTTAAGTGAGTCTGATTTGCGGACATTACGTGCTTCGTGGTGGAGCTGCGGCTCAGTGCCTAGCCTTGCGGCCTCACTTATCTCTCATCCCAGTCTGGCAAAGTCGCACAGCGGTGAAATGCTGGTGAGCACGGGGTGACGCCCTTGCACGCTGACGCCCTTGCACACTGACCCCTTGGGGAAATCCTGAGGGAGCTAGAACTCTGTTTGTGCTGAAAGCATTTTTTTCCATTTTATTCATAAGTATTTACATCACTGGTTAAACTCTGTCATCCTTTGCTGAAACCGACTGTAAAATGTACAAAACCATATGTAAAATATGTTCAATGAAATGTTGGGAAAATACCGAGGTTACATACATATTCTTGCTTTAATTACATAAATGTGGCTGATGCTGTTTAGAGTTTGAACCGTCCTTGCAGATCTTTGGCCTTAACTTTCACGTCTTGATTTTTCTGGGTAAACAATGGCTCATGTTTACATCAGCAGCCCCAGCAGACTTACTGTAGTGCAGGGTTCTTCAAATCTGGACCTCGATTCTAAATCCAGGCCTTGTTTTCAGTTCTCCCAGGTAGTTAGTTTAATAATTACTGATTCTGATTGGCCAGAGGCGTCACACCTGACTGACAGGTAAAGGAAGGCTGGAAAACCAGCAGTGCTCGGACCTCAAGGACCGTGATTTGAATAACCCCACTGTAGTGGATGTGCTCTACCAGCGTTCGCTCTCCACCACTTGGTGGCGCCTAAATAAATACGTTCTAATGACGCATACATTTTATTTCGTTTTCAATCATTTTGTTATTTTGAATACATCAGGGAGATATCAACAATAAAGCTAAAAGAGAGGTTGTCACATTGTCATTATGCAGGCGGTGTCGATAGAGCACATGTTGAAATGGGAAGAGAGCCAATAGAGCAAGACCTTGATGTGGCAACCTGTAATATTTACAGAAAGCCTGACCCTGCTGACTGTGAAGGAAAAGTACAATTCAAGGAAACCTGAACACTGAAGCTGAAAATTTTGCCCTGGACTCAGAGAGCAAAGCTTCATCCACTACTGCGTGTAGATTCCTCAGACTTGGCAACATAGCTTGTGTAGTTGAGCTTCAAAATCGTGACGATTCTGTCCCTGCGTCACCCGCCGCTTTGTCCTTAGGGCGCCCCGTGAGCTGTGCACGTCCCCCGCTTCACGCCCTCAGTAGATGAAAGGTATCAGAGCTTTTCTGGATTTGGGGTAATTTTTGAATTGTTTCAAGTAGAACCTGACGGGAAACACATGGAGAAGTTATTGTCATAACAAAAGGCCATCGGTATGCAGAGTTTTCATTAAACTGCCTTTTTATGAGGTAATGTAGCTGATTGATGTATACACAGCTGTGGATAGCATTACAACATTTCACCAGCGAAGTGGCTTTAGAAATTCCCCAGTTTACTATTTTTTAATTTGTTTCAACATCAAATCTCATCGTGTTTTTTTTTTAATGTACGGCTGTATGTGGACAGGGACATATCAGATATCTATGAAGGGTTTTATGGCATCCTTACAGTATTTTACTGTACACTCTGTACATCCACACTGTTAGGCACTTGTCCAATTCATTCTTCAGCCATTGTTCTGGTGGACTAGCGTTATTCTGTAGGCAGGTTTTCAGTCTAATTGACCACTTATGGACATTACATAAATCCTATTTATGCAAATTCTTTGTAGCCCTCCAGGACCACCGCGGACTAACCACTAGTATATGGTCAAATAGCGCCCCCTAAGGGGTCAACTTGTACCTGTGATGGTGGCAGGCTCTTGGTCCAATGGAGCACATGGTGAAAAAAGCGAAAGCAAACGCGGGCATAGTCCAGGTTGCCACAGCGTAGCCTATCCACTCCAAGATCTCCCCAAAGAAATTGGCCCCTGAGACGTATTCAAACAGGCCCCCTGATATATAAACCAGAAAGAGGAAATCTGTGACTGGTCAACCAGAAACATCAATCCCTCACCCACCCTTACAACCTTGAATCAACCACCCACTCTGGACACTGATTTTGAGATTATCAGAAAAACTAGTGACAGCATCCTTTAGCAAAGTCAGCAAAAAATGCCCACGATGTTTAACATCTGCATTACAATGCCTATAAAGAATGCAGCCACCCTGAAAGATTAGTAAAGAAATCCAGCAACACAGATGGAATCAAGACATTTCCTAGTTTAGTAATTTGTTATATATAGTACTACCCTACCGTTTGGAATCTTGTAGGTGACTTCTCCTGGTTTTCTTAATTTTCGCAGAATATGATCACTGTGAATATTAATGGCCATTCCCACAAAGAATATTATCAGTCCTAGGAAAAGCAGAGAGAAAACAGCACCCTTGTTCCATAGAAAAATGCTTTCGGTTTTGGTTTTGCACAGTAATATTCTCCAGAAAATCACAGTCACAGCTGGGAAATATTACAAATTGAACAAGCAGGGTATTTTAGGCATAAAGGCCTTTCCTATGTTGTCATACTTAAGAATAGTTCATATAGTTTTTACTTACACAAAAACATTCTGAGGGAAGAATGAAAAATGATTGGTTCAGAGAGATAACCAGATTATAGAGGAGGTGGGTCCAAGCAGCTAAAGGAGGTGGCACAAACCAATCTGAAATATTGGTCCCACCTCCTCTACAATATCATTGATTATCTTTCTGAACCAATCACATTTTATTCTGCCCTCATAACATTTTTGTGTGAGTAAAACTCCCATGAGCAAGTAAATATGGCTTGCCATACTTCAGGTATAAGTAACCTGCAACTGGACACTTTTGCCAGTTCATACAGCTAGACTAGAGTCAATCAGGTTAAGCACATAACTCAGAGGTTTGACAACTCTGCTTGTCCATATTCTTAGCCACTGGGACTTGAACATGAAACATTCTGGTTGCAAGTCAAATTTTAGCTTCTCAAACTACCTGAAATCCTGAATGTATATTTATGTTGAATGGTGCACTGATGAGATTCAAGTACAAAAGGGGGCATAACCAATACCCTTGACCACCATACTACATACTGGCTTCACATACCAGTCCATAAGCGAACATCTGCCCACCAGTTTTCTTCATATTCTGCACAGTGTAGCATGTTGTACCCCTGGAAGAAGCCATTGATAGAGCAGAAGATCATGGCGGAGATCATGATCTGAAGAGGGGTGGGTCGGCCCTTGTTCAGCAGGGAGTATATGAAGGTCCTGCAGGAAATATGAGGAAGCAATTTTAAAGCTCCTTGCACCACTCTTGCTTAATGAAGCCTTAGTGGGCTTTTAATGGGCACAGATGTGAGATGATGAAAGGAAAAGCTTTCCTTGGATAACCAAAAGCATTAAGTGTTATCAGCTGACGTTTCGTATGACTAATTTCTCCACATCAGCTGATAAGTCACTTTACTTCATTCCTGTCTGCCAGTGCAACCACATAATCTGAAGGATACTGAAGTCTTAGGAGAGGTTTCAGTTGAGAAACTGAAACCTGAGTCCCTCTGGCAAGGGGGTAGAAACTCTCCATGCTGGTCTTGCAAAGAAACCAACAGAGTGTCATCAGATGCAGGTATGAGCCTCACAGCACTGTGGGGGGCAGATTGGCGGGTTCCGCACCGCATCTCCAGGATTTTGGCAGAAAAATGACACGTGGGAAAAAAAACACTGCAGAAAAGGCACTGATGGAAGTTAAAATCCACTTCGACGTGCATCGGGATGAGGAATGTTATTACAAACAGATGCTTGTAAAAGAGCAAGTAACGCATACTGACCTGCATCAAAGAATGTCTGTCACGAGGTGACAAAGACAGATAAGAATGAAAGACACATTTAAGCTAGATAAACCGGCAAAACGGCTGACACTCATTCATGCACTGTCCTTATCTCCTATGGACTGCTCCTGCAGCATTTTTCAGCTACATCTCATAGCTTCTGTTGAGTTTTAATATTTTATCCTTTGGACCTTCAATGGAGTATCATCGGCCCTTACAGCCGTCTCAGAACCTAGCTACCTGCAGTTTTACAGGCATGTTAATAGCATCTCTCATCATGATATCTCTGTATACATGTAAAGCACCTTTCTACCAAACTATGGTGCTATGGGCTTTACCAGCATAGCCACTGAGATACACTCTTCAGCGACACACAATTTAAATGCAAAAGACGAATTACGGACGCAAATCATTCTCCGCTGAAATTGCAGTCACAATCCTGTACCATAGCAAGCATTCATGGCTACATCATTGTAACAGACCCATAGAGCTCTTGTAGGACATTCTCATGCTCACTCTTCTGGGTTCCAGCCCTCATCAAATATATTCAGAAGTACCTTTGGAAGTAGTGCAAGCAGAAGGTGGACAGCAGCAGGTTCCGGCCCACGATAGAGACTTCATCCGCAGTGTAGAGCAAGACCATCGGCACCAGGAAGGAAGGCAGCTCCTGAAGGAACCACGCCACTTTGGCAGGAACCATCAGGGCTGGTTTAGAGGTGTCCAAATATCGGCCATAAGGAGTCTCTATCTTCCTCTGCCTGTTGAAGTAGGTCACCGAGGCTAAGATTAAGCCCCAGCTGCACCAGTACACCACGTCCTGCTGACACGACATGCTCCTCAACTAATTGTCTTCTTCCACTCTGGGACGACTATCAATCCATCTGCAAGCAGCTCAAGCCCCTCCCACAGTGAGGTCTGGCTCCGTAGCAAGAGGCACAATACTGAACGTGTAATCAGAGAAGTCTATGGGATTCGGGATTCCACAGCTCTTACACTTCACAGAATTTGGGAGAAAAACAATACATGTATACGCATAAGTTATAGAAAACTTTTGTGACTCAGCTTTGTCTATCAGAACAATTGCAGCTGCAATTGGCTTTTATTAACAAAATAATAATATCCTCTGAGTACACAACTGAAAATTGCTAATAAGTGCATCTTGCCTTTGACCAGGCAAAATGTTCTTGTAAAAATATTTGATTTATGAGACAAGGCTGACAATAAGAGCTCATAATTTTGCACATCAGCCATAATAGCACATAAAAAAAACTAGTGGATGATCTACATTCCTGCGTTGCATTACATGAACAGTGTAAATATTACCCTACAGCCAGGTCTTAGTTGTGAGCATATTGCTGGAGAACTACATGTATTTGTTCTCCATTAGCACGGTATAAATAAAAGCATTCATGTTGTTTTTCCTGGTGGTAAATTTACTCATGTTATCCATTCCAGGGTCTTACTGGAAGTCAAAGTACTGCAAGCTTCCCATTTATGTGTGCCAAAATCAGCTGGTTCTTATTATATAAAAACGCCTCAGGAGAGTGGTTTCCTGCAGGATATTCCTTCACAATATTCTTTTTGTGAGGAAATGAGATGGAATTTTATAGTCAACAGTCTACAGAAACAAAGCTCAGCTGCAACTGAGCTCAGCAGGCAGGGAGGAACCAGGCCACCAATCACAACTTTCGCCTGTGGCTGGGCAAATGCCAACCAATCACAGATTTTAAAAACATTTTACTATATACATAAGGAGGAAGCCAATTTCTTAAAGACTTTTTGGGCTCTTATACCCAATCACCCCAGCTCTCCAGTGCCCCACCCTCAAAATATCCTGGACCTAGGCCCAGTCTAAAATAGCATTTCGTAATACATACCCCACCATCATGACTTAAGTTACCCTGCTGCCTTAATGAAAATGAGCAAAAAAGGTGCCTGAAAAAAATACTGCGTATGAGTTATATTAGATAGATCCAGGTGTGGATCGATGCTTTGGGGCCATTTTGCTTTTTGAAATCCACGCACTCTTGTTAAGATCAATAGCACAAAGAATTGCCATGACAACCACACACGGCTCTGGATTTAATTAAGAGATCACAGCACAGTTCATCTCTCATTTCTCAGTTTGTGGGTCTGTGTCTGTAAACAATATATATATTTTTTTTTGCAAACAGCGGCCTGGTTCTTTTATGTTTTTTGGACTTTTTTTCTTACTTTTTGGGACTTTGGTCTTGCTTCTAGGAACCCGAAGTTGTCCTAGCAGTGCATTTCACAGAACTTAATGTTTCCTATTCTTTTTGAAAGACACTTGAGGTCATCCTCGAATCATGAGAAACTGTCGGAAAAGTTGACGTCATCTCTGGCATTACAAAGTCGCTTCAGCCGTCTGTCTGGCTGGTTTCTGAACATTCCCAATGTCTCTGATGTCTTAGAAATTCTGAGCCTGGAAGTAACCTGCCATGTAGCAGAACCAGGATTAAAGCAGGATTTAGAAACGCAGATTTAAAAACATATATATGGTCTTGTAATGTTCCCCAGAGATAACTGCTTATCCTGGGCAGGATTTTGGAAATGACATTCATCTGGAATCACTTCATGTAGCAGTTGCACCTGAAACTGCCTTATGCTGCCGCCCCCCCTCCCCCACCATTCATCCACTGTAAATAAAACCCACTGCAAAGACCTAATTGAAGTTTTCACTGCTTTGTACATACAGGCAGTGTGTGTGAATCCCCATGTGCCCTGCAATGGCTCTGCAGCCTGTCCAGGATGTGGCCTTTACTGCCTATTGAAAGTTCAATGGATGAATTTGCACAGTATTTAGCTCACTTTCATCCAAGGCATTAATAACTCGGGATGCATCTGTACTTTAAACAATCCCTTGACATGGTTGTATCAAAACCACATGGGAAGAACTTAGTACAAATTCTTTCAGTGTAGCCAACAGCCAGTCCATCCAGAGCCCAAAATGTACAACTTCTGAGAGACTGAAGACAAATGCAATTTGGCCGAAGGACAGCAACCCAGAGACAGACAAAGGAGGGGAACCGTCCTGCGGAGCCTCCTCTGCAGTCAGGATCTCGCAAGCAAGCAGTTGTGGCAGGTTGCATTTCTCATGTGACTCATGTGAGCAGCAGCTTGGGAACTTGGGAGTCTAGTATTATTCCTTAAAGTTTCACATTGGTGCAAGGAGCAAAACTACTGTTGCATTGTGCAGTGAGGTACTCACCAAAATAAGCAAATAATGTCAACGTTATCAACACTGCAACCCAAGATAAATGGATGACACACTCTCGGTATCTCCTATTGGTCATGTTTCTGCAGAAACTGATATGGAATGACTACATCCCCAGAAGGGGAATACAAATAACTTAATCATGATGCACTCTCAAAATATACTCACTGCATAGCACTGCAGTAGTTTTGACAATTGATCCATCTTTATACTGAGCCATTCCATTAATCAGTTACCCATGGGGGGGGGGCGCTACAAAAAGTCTCCATCGATAGAAACTGTCTCACTGCTATGAACTCAACTGCCTCCAGAGGTATTTTACATTTAATTTGCATGCAAGAAAATCTCTGTGAACCTTTTATTTGACCAATCCCTCACTGGTGTCCAAGGTCTCAGATACTTTAAAGTGGAGAAGCTCTTAAATGCCTTAGCTGCCTCACCCATTAAAGGATTTCCGTAGATTATAGTAGCTAAGGGTTCTACATTTATACCTTGTCATACCAGAACTACTCTGTGTGTAGTCCTGCTGGGGGTTTATGCATCAAAACCCCAAACCACAAATATTTACCCTTCTCATATGCAGATGTTTCCAGAGTAGTGAAAAGAGCCAGCAATCAATCCCCCCAGTACCCGGCTGAAAGATACACTTGCAATCATTTATAATATTGGAAATAACCATCATATTACACTGGAGGAATAACTAATCTAAAGTAGGGCAAAAAAAAACTAACAGTACTAGAAAAACTAGTCTTGCAAAACCAGGGAGTCGATGTTGTGGTTAGAATATAACAAATATCAGCAAGATAACACAGCAGTTATATGCTAGAACATGAGATGCTTGGTTTAAGCATCAAGACAGGGCAAGCTCTTTAAGCCAAACTGCAGGTAATATATCAAGCTGCAACAATATGGAGAAAATTAAACATTTTTGTAAGAATGAAGACAACCCAAGCTTTGAAGAAAGATGGTTTCCACCTGCTAAAGTTGTTTCACACATTAATAGCTGAAGTGACTAAACGCAGACAAACTGACTTCAAGAACAAGAATGTAACAGTTTAGATGGCATGCAGGAATTTCAGCTTTCCAGTTTGTCAACAGAAGACACAATAAAGAGACACAAGACCAAAGAAGTATTTTCAGAGTTTTACTGTTTTTTCCCATTTTTCTTATTGTAGTGAGCAGGGTAAACAAAAAGGCTGAATCAGCTGAACCTGAGTTAATAAGACTCCACCTTGGAGCACTTCAGAAACGTTTGTTGTCGACAGTAACAAACCGGAGGTTCTTGACTTCAAGCACAGACTACGTTGTTTAACTAGCAAAAAAAAAAAAAAAAAAACTAATAAAAAAATACTAAGAAGCACAAGGGGTCCCCCAGCAGGATGTGCAGTGCGAAATCCCAGTCTGCACCACATCAAAGTCGCTGATGCAGTCCCTCTCCGGTCAGATGCGTCTTCAAAACATTGGACAAGAGAGCGTACTGGATTTTAAAAAAAACAACTCAGATGGTCAGACGTCACAGAGGAGTGAGATGATTGGTGGTGGTACAGTTACCGGTTCACCACCAACGAGGAAACCAGTGGGACATACAACGATGATTGAAGGCACAAATGCACTATCCTTTAAATTTCACAATTGATTTTCTTCATTCTGATTGATGCTGGCTGCCCACCAATAGAAAGCTGAACCGACAGCGTCAAACACTGGCATCCAAGGGGATCGATCCAGAGGTTGATCTTGGTTAGAGGAAACCCAGCATGCAGTGAACCTTGCAGTCACAGCCCCATCTCAGTGCATGGAACCAATAACGCTCTGCATTTTCTTGGTTAAATTCACACAATTACATAACACAAAACTAAAATTGTGGTGCCTGCTCTGGTCCAAAAGAACCACCTTTCTAACATATAAAATGATCTTGTGGGAGCTTTACTTAACGTTCTGAGGGCAGAACGAAAAATGATTGCTTCAGAGAGACAACCAATCAGATTGTAGAGGAGGTGGGTCCAAGCAACTAGTGGAGACGGGACCCAAGATTAGTTGGCCCTCCTCTTCTAGTGGCTTGGACCCACATCCTCTACAATCTGATTGGTTATGTTTTTGAACAATCATTTTTTGTTCTGCCCTAAGAACATTTTTGTACAAGTAAAACCCCCATGAACCTGCAATGATGGCCTTGGTATGTCGATAAAGTGCCTGCTTAGTGAACACCAGCACACTCTGCAGTTCTGGAGGACTAATGACGGGCACCACAAATAAATGAAAAAGGGAGAGGACTAAAGAGGCTAAGATTGATGCCATTGCTAATAATAGTTAGATGTCGAAGAACATTATTGTAAACAAGAAAAATGGTGAGGAATTGAAAATAAAAATGGGCTAAAAAGACAAGTCAAAAAATGTTCTTTTTTGGTATATGGAATATACAGCACAGCGTTATAGGGCTTTTCCCTGAACAGCCCGTAACAGCCATAATAAGTCTATATGGTACGATTTTGGCTACCTACACTGCACTTCTTGGCTTATAAAAGGATATAACGTTAGTAAATAATGTTGTTTTCTTCTTTCCAGATCCAATCCATTTGAAGAACGTCCTGTACCATCACCACAAATGATCTTCCACCTATTTTCAAAGCACAGTTCTGCAGAGTGCAAACATATACAAGTTGTACTCGCCCCCCTCCCCTTTTGAATTTGTCTGGCATGTTCCTACAAGGCTCCCCCATCCCCATGTTTCACTCTACTCCAGCATAAAGAGAGAAACACACACACACACACACACACACACACATTATGATAATGCATATCATAATGGCAGATTTAACCAACAGGATGAAGGCTCATTCCAAGGGGGGGCCAAATTCCTCAGACAAGCCTCACATGGCTAGAAATTCCCATGCTGGACAAGTACTCCCTGGAAAAGTGGGGAGTCATTTTTTTTTTTTTTGAAGGAGGGGGATGAGGTTGGGTAACAGGGCAACATGGAGTGAAGAGATAGGGGCCCCCCCTCCCCCTCAGTGGACGATCAAGGCCCCCGCCGCGTAACTGACAGAGCTGTCTTGCCAGTTCCTGCACTGGCTGGATTGTGCGTAGTTCAGGAAGGAGAAGCTCATATCTGTGCCGTTCTTCCGCAGCTCAGTCACAGCCTGCAGCGCAAAACACACGCCAGCATTAAACCCCTGGGAGAGCACAGGAAGCAAAGGGCGGGTCAATGCATCCAGCTGCTGGGCCACAGCTACCCTGGACTGGAAGCCCCAGCCTGGTAATTTCCACCATTATGACAGGAAATCCTGGATTACATAAATGAGGGCGGGGGGGACATGATTCAAATTAGTCAGGGGTTTTTCAGTCAGGCAGTGGATTATACCAGAGGTACTGAGGTTTGCTGCATTTACTCCAGCTCATTTACTCACGTCCCCTTCAAACACAGTTCTACGTGGGAACTGTAACCATTAGAGATCAAATCAAAATCAAAAGCTGCCTGGTAGACTTTGTCATGTCTACAAAATACTCACTGGCCTATAGTCAAAAGTGGTGGTCAACTGTTACAATGCATTTACATTTTATTTATTTGACACACGCTTTTACACATTTCTAAAGAAGCCAGCTCCGACAGTCCCTGGGAGTTAAGTACTTTGCTCAGGGACCCGATGATGGCAGCACTATGCTGACCCTGGGATTTGAACCAACGACCTCCCTACGACAGGCAAAGCATCCTAACCCGCCTCAAACCATCCCCCATAATAAGGCCTTCAGCAGATCTGAAACCAGAACCCCAGATGTAGGAGCCAGTACCTTATCCACTGCACCAGAGAGGAAGTTCAACACCACGTGTGCCCCCCCCCCCCTCCCAAACCCTTCTTACTTGATAGCCAAAGAGTAAGGCCCTTGAGGCAGGGGCCCGAATGCTGACACGCAGCGCGCCGGGGCCACACTTACGTTTAGCAGCACTCCGATGGGGTGACGGCCACAGATGGTGTTGTGGTACTTCTTTAAATAGTTACTAAAAGATATAGGGTCCAGTTGCTCTATGATGCCCATACCCTTGGAAAGAGGAGGAAGACACACCTTTAAAAAAAGACTGTCAAGAACTTCCAATACAGCGGAGAGTCCTCCTTTGCTCTATTCTCTCTCATTGGATATGGGACACCAATATAACCTTTTTATTATTACAGTGGTACCTCAGTTCTCGAACTCATTAGAACTCAAATTTCTTAAAAGTCAAACCAACCAGTTTGAAAAAAAATGACCTAGAGCTCGATCTGAATCTCAGAAGTCAAACCGTGAACTTTTATGCGCGGGGAAATGAGTCTCTCAGCAGAAACAAAGTGTAACGCTTCAGTCTGAGCCTCGCATTCCCTGTGATAGCATTGTGCATGTTTACACTAGCTGAATACATATAGACAGTAAAAATACATTTAGACAATGATAGACAGTAACAGTAATTATTATTATATAATAAAATACATTTAAAAATAAAGATTTCTTATTCATTATTTTACTATTAATAATAAACCATTAATACGTTTAATTATAATAATATTGTCGTGCCGAGCGGGGACGGAACGGAGACAAAGGCGCAGACGTCAGGGTATCGGGGAATACGGGGTTTAATTACAGGTAAGGCAGGCAAAACGCAGACGGACAATACAATGACCGGACTGGGGAAACAAACTGAAACACGGACGAAATACAGAGGACTAATGACGAGAACCAGAAACAGCTGATCACACAGGGATTCCACACGGGGTTAACGAGGGGGCGTGGCACACGGAAGGAACAGACGATCGGGGGCAGGACACATTGTTTGGATACATTTATTTTCTTACTTTACAAATTACTGTTTTGATAAATGTGCCTAGATGTGTTTAGTACAGTATATGCTCTTCTTGTTTTATCCAGTTCATTTTGTGTTTAAATGCTTTAAAAAAAAAAAAAAAAACATATTTAGGTGTAATTTTTTGGGGCTGGGAACCAATTAATTGGTTTTCCATTATTTCTTATGGGGAAAATTCGATCACAACTCGAACTTTTTAGGATTCGATCCGGAGTTCTGAACGGAATAAATTCAAGTTCTGAGGTACCACTGTATTTAAATAATCAACAACTAGAAGTCATTGTTCGTACAGGAAATAACTCTTTAAATTGGGGGGCGGGGGGGTTGAACAAGAAGTGATATCAACTGATGAGAAATCAATATGTAAACAAAACTGTTAATCCGGATGGTTGCTCCCCCCATGATAGAGGACTGGCATAGCCAGTATTGGGGGCTGTATCGGAAAGCTGGGTGTTTCAGTTAGCAAGAAAGCTTGTCGAATTTAAGGCACCCCAGTTAAAATGGACTTTATCTTTATTCACTGACATTTACTCCAGAGAAATTATCAACAAATTTCATTTAGTGATACACATCCCTGTCTCAAGGTTTTTAGCAAAACATCCCCCAAAAAAAGCATCCCCCCCCACCACCACCCTGGGCCCATCCACCAGCATCCAGGTGTATCACATGCACGCTGACTTTCAGTGTTTAAGATTCCTGGAGTAAGCTGAGCGTATCCTTAATGTCCAACCTCCCCCAAAGACTATCTAAGAGGAGAACAAGGGATGGCAGAGATCTCATCTGAGAAATTCCCACCATCACTACAGAATGCATTAAAAAAAAAAAATGATTTGTATTGCGATATTCACTCAAATGGATCACTGGAGAATAATGTATTCAGTCACACCTGAAAAGACAAACAGCCAGCAGGTGTGTCAACAGTCTTACCATTTTATCAAGATGCTCGATGGATCTGTATATTTCTCCCTGAGTTTCGTCATAATATGTGTAACGGAATCGCTGCCCTTTAGGAAGAGAGATGTGTTTAAATCCGATTGCTCCTGAAATGTCTCGCAGTGATCATGTGCCCCAACAAGCCATTCACAGTGTACTGTATGGGTCAACTGAACCCATTCATGGAAATGATACTGTCTCACATAACAGAGTAAATATGAAGCGAAGCTCGTTTCAGCGATGCTATACTGAACACAGAATTAGGTTAGAGAGAGCTCTCAAATAAGCCACATTCTCCTGTTGGAAGTAATGAATTTTGTTATTTTTACATGGTAATACTTCCGCTCATCTTGAAATTATTTAAAAATAAATAAATAAATGAATTGCAGGGGTGTCCCTAGGGCTGTTTTTAGGCTGTGTTATTTTCTCTTTCATTTTGGCCATTTTCCGTCAAACCCTCCCCTTTCATAAATCTCTAGTGACATCCCTGGATGTCACATCTTATCCAAGCGTTGATTATTATCATTTCCACTTCACCAGCCCGTCAGAACAGACAGCAGGTGGCAACGTGTGATAACAGGTATTTAATCACCCGACAGAATCATACCGAGCAGCGGCACCAGACGCCCGGACCAACTCACCCCAGTGGCAGAAGTCAGACGAGATCACAAACAGGTTTGCTGGGTCCACCAGGTATTTACTGAGGATCTTGCCATATTCCTGTTCTTTGGACTCGCTCAGGGCACCGACCAGCACTGGGACAATGGAAAACTCATCTTTATGGCTGGGAACAAAAAATGGGGGGGAGGGGGGGGGGAATATATAACCAAGTAGTCACACCCACTCAGCAGGGAACCTGACCTGAATCTGTTCTGAATAAAAATAAAGGAAACATCAAATCAGCAAGGATACCCGATGACGGTGAGAAACCACAAATAAAATGGATGCATCAGCAGTGCATGTTAGTCAACCCTGAGTGGCTCACAGCACTGAGGCTGAAGCAGCCAATCAGGGACAGGCTCTTGGGCAACTTGCTAATGAGGTGGCCTCATAGCCCCACCCCTGTGCACGGCTGTTATGCCACGTGAGCCTGCCCTTGGCACACTAGAATGCCAACATGCCAACAGAGGGCGTAGCGGTTAAGGACCTTGGAATTCCCCACAACTTAAAACAATTTAAACTGTCTTGGGAAATATAAGAGCGTAAATGAACTGTATCTGACTGAAATCAAAGCGATTTAAAGAAGGCAGCGTTTATAAATGATGTTCACCCATCAACACCAATCAGCTGCAAGGCACAGAGAGACTGAGCAACGCTGTTTGACTTGGTAAGAGGACACGTGCAGTTCAAATTCTGCACGAGCTGGAGGTGAGGAGCTTAAATATTACTAACGTGGGAAAAAAAAAAGGTAACAACAGAATACAACAGGCCAGAGAGACTTACAACTAAAATAGCCCAGTGCCACATCAACATTAAGATGCTGTTTGCAGATATTCTTGTACTAAGATTAAGGGAACAATGGCACAGTCTGTTAGCACATAATACCAACCAGAGAGAATAGGAAGCCATCCTTGGCACAGAAACTGCTGAATTCTTGGCACCCCCTGTACTTCTGTACTGACAATCTGGCAAAGGAACCTGCAGTGCATTCAATCATTTCAGTGACTTTCTGACATGACTAGTCTGCAGTGGGCTTACATCCTATAAGGAGTGGACCCCTGCCTTATGCCCTGTAGCCTGTGGGATAGATTCCAGCCTCCCCCCCCCCCCATGCCAAGCACCCGATACAGGATCACCACTACAGAGGCTGGCTGGCTGGAACACGCTATCACGCTACCTGGCCCCCACCATAGCCGATGACCTCATAGCATCTGTGCCAAGACCACATGACCGGCCAAGACACGCCCTGCAGCTGCTTGGTTCTGGCATCTCTCACATGCACACATCTCAAAATGTGAAACTCGCCAGTGGGCACTTAGTGACAGAATGACAGACAAAGGCACTAAGGACCAGGATCAGGAACAGGGTAGCGGCTTCTAAGCCCTGGCTGTTTGGTCGTCTTCCTCAAATGCCCGAGACAAAAACAAAAAACAAACAAGCTGTAAAAGGGTAAAATTACTGTCACTTTGAACAAAAAGTGCCAGCCAAGTGAGGAAATAATAATCTTTTAAAAAAAATCAAAGAAAAAAAAAACAAGGATTGTCAGCGTGTTAATAAGCAATTCTAATCCTTTCAGCGAGACACAGCTGTGAAAATGGCTGTTAGGAAGCAGTGTTGTGTTTTGAAATGCATGACCTGCCTCCCAGCACCCCAGCACCACCACCCCCCGCGAGATGGTACCTCTCCATGGCTTTGGCGGTGAATGGGAGCTGCATCTCAATGCTGTGCTCTTCCTCATCTGTCGGCAGAGTCATCCTCTCGAACATGCCCGTTTTCCAGAGGTCAGCATAAACTACAAGTGGAGGGATGGTTCATTTAAAAACAAACGTTGCTAATGTTTCCCATTTCCTGCTAGAATGAGGAGGCCAGTCTGAAGGCAGCGGGCAGACATTGGCCGTTTCATCGCCTCGGTAACGCCCGAGTCGTCATGGCTCCCCTACGATCCCCATGCCTCTCAGAGCCTTCAGCTTGCATTTGTCGAACAACACAACCGAGGCTGAAATCAGCCAGTCCCAGTGAAAAGTTTGGACACGCCAAGCTGCCTACAAAGGAGAGTGATGTCACATCACATGACCTGACCACCTGACCTAAACACAGGAGAAATGGTTTTGGAGGAGTCTGACCAGAGAGAGAGAGAAGGAAAAGCAGCCAATGACTGCTCAGCATACGTGGGACCTCCTTCAGGATAGGTGGAAAAGCATCCCAGGAGGCCACCTCATGAAACTGGCGTAAAGGTGAAAGTAGGGTCAGCCAGTCCCTGGAGCAATTGGGGTTAAGGGCCTTGCTCAAGGGCACAATGGGGGGGGGGGATCTCTCCGCTCTCTATGGGATTTGAACTAACAACCTTCTGAGTCTCAACCAACAGAGCTGCCCGCCAAAACAATTTTTCTTTATAATACTTGGTCAGTGCATAAGGCATATGTTATTTTATAGTTTTGATGTCTTTATTCTAAAATGTAGAGAATAATACCAATACACCTTTCTATCTGTAGGTGTGTACAAACTTTTAACTGGTACTGCAGACCGACAGGTTTAGGTAGGACTGTGAAGTGAGGCGTGGGGCTCTTACTCTTCTGGTCAATTCTCAGGTCATACAGAGGCGTTCTGTAGACCTCAGCGGGCGACAGGGCACAGCGGGACAGGGGCACATGGTGGGAGGGACCCAAGATGAAAACCCTCCGGCTGCGGGGGAACCAGAGACTCAGCTCATAGGCACACATACACGCTTCCGGAATAATCCAAAACTGCAGATGCCACAATGCCATGTGGCTGGGCTGACGAGGCATCGCACACCATGCCAGTCGTAAGCCCCGCCCAAAGATGCTGACATCAGTGGTTCCGCTTTATCTGCTCTTGGTCTCAGTCGAGATGGGTAAATAAAACTTTCCCTGAATCACCAATTTTAGACCTTGTCTCCCACAGGGCAGATGGCGTGGCACCCAAGCACTATTCCTTACCTTGAGCCAAACATTTAATTTTGCACTTTTTTTTTTTTTTTACCCATAATGCACTCATCTACCCAACAATATGATAAAGCAGCAAAGCTCAGAGCTAACGGACTTGCAATCTGGCACTCACGTGACCGTGGGATCCACCTGCTTGTAGGCATGTGCAGCACACGCTCCGCAGTAGGTGTACCCAGCATGCCTGTGAAGACGGAGGACATGGCCTGAGAGACTCTACCTGCCTCACACTGACTCCCATAGCATGGTGGGGATGGGGGTTGCAGGGGCACTGGCTCTGGCTGAAAGCTAATTCACCCTTGCAGGGCACCAGCCAATCACATCATCGGCTATCGACAAGGCTGGCCCCTCTTAAGAAACCCCGGAATCATCCCTATCATAGCATTAGAACACAAGTAGCATATTGCGTACCAATGACCATTAAAATGTTAGCGAAGATGACAGAAGATGATCCAGTTGCATGCAGGTAGTGCCTTTCCAGCTACAGGAAGACGGGCAAGACCTTCCGCATGACTTACGGCGCTATGACGGCCCGAGCTGGCCGCAGAGTGGACTGCGCCTGCGACAGCCATCCCTCCAACTGCGCATTCAGCTGGGCTCCTGCAGGGAGAAGGAGAAAAAAAGACAGACAGATAGATATTATTCCTGTTATCTTGCTGGCCTTTTCAGAAGCCAGGGAAAACGAAGATCCCGACTATCTACATCTACAAGTATTTACAACCCGGCACTGGACAAATCACAATGGGGAACAAGGGAAAGCGCAGGGAAATTTATAAGGCTGATCAGCTACAGAAACCAAAGCCGATATGCAGATGTAGGTCCAACTTTATTGTCACTGAGAAGTACAGATACATGACAACAAAACGGAGTTGACATCTAACAAGTGTAGAAAAAAAATGCAACACGTGTACACAAGACCAACCAACAACAGCAACAGCTAAGCTATTCAAATATAAAATGTAATGTGAATATACAAGTATAAATAGGTAACAGAAATGAGTACAGCATACAAAGTATATAAAGCGTAATTTGTGAATTTGCCACTGGGAGGCACTACCCCCCCCCCCCTCCCCCCACAGAAAGCTGCCATTGTGCTGTTAACTCATTCTCACATCCAGGTTCCACATCCCTCCCTCCTCCCTACTAGCAAGGGAATATGAATTAAGCAGTTGGCATTTATCTGGTCTGGGAGGGGAGATACTGTGCGTGTGAATTTCTTAAAATAGCACGCAGAAGAATTTCATTAGCAACTAAAGCATAGATCCAACTCGGGCGACACAGATGATGTAGCTGCCAAACGCATAAACAAACAAACAGCCATGCATCAGTGGAAACCACATGACTAAATCAGCGGGGGAGATGTCTCTCACACCTTTCAGCAAAGCATGTGCTGCAACACTTAATATTTGCCCCCCCGACGCACAGAGAAATCCACACGGCAGGGCGAAGCCTGGCAAGCTTCTGAAGAGGTGCAATTTACAAATGGCTAATATTAATGCTTCCAGAAGCAGGTGAGGGTAGGAATCATCACAAGCCAATCAATCACTGCCGAGTTTAGCCCAAATCACGAAGTGCTGGACAAGATGGTGAATGGAGACTTAAGAGAATCCCACCCAAGGAGGGGGGGGGGGGGGGGGTTGAGATATTGGTTTCCACCATTGGCAGAGAAGTCTCCAATGCAATTCTTTTGACCAGTTACCCGGTAAAGACTACGGTGATGCTGGGCTGCATGTTGAGAGGCATGGTCAATAGCCAGATTTCCCATGTCACAAGAACAAAAAAAGACCCCTGATGCAAAGTGAAAAAAGCACCGTCCACATTGCTGTGCCACACAAAGAATCCTTAAGAACCCTTAAGTCACCTAAGATGTCAACGGAACCATACTAAACATCACCTCTGCTGCAACACACGACCCGAAAGCCATCGATTCCAGGCAGGAGGAGCTTGCAAAAATAACAGAGCAGAACATTCGGTAAGCTCACACCGAGCTTACTAATAATCACTCAGGGCCGGGGGGGAGGGGGGTCACATTACCTGCCTCAGTCACCCTATTTAATTCTTTGGCCTTGAGTGTCTTGGGGTACAAAACTCCAGCTCCGCACTGTACTGATAACTGCTTGGGAACCATTTTAAGCGCTTGACTGCAGCAGGAAGGTGCCTTTGGGAAGGAGGCGGAGCAAACGCTAATCCAGCAAAGCACAAGGGCCCACAAGGGCCCACATGTCTCCCACGGCCCACACAGGTCAGGACAGAAAAAAAAACACACTCCCAGAGCCAGGCCAAAGACCCATCAATCAAGGCTGGCAAAAGGCAGGAAGCTCAACTCGCCCTTCCACAACGCTGCCCCCACCCCTCCCCACCCCACACATACCCCCACTTGGCTAATCACTTAACTGTCATGAAGAGTCATGGAAGCACGGAGCCAAAAGGGTTTAAATCTGCACCTTATCTTCTATATTCAAACGATGAACGAAATAAGTAAAGTACTTTGACTGAAGCCACACAGCAAACGCCTACATTCACATGCATACAGATCGGGTCTTTTTTTTTTCTGGCCTGACGGACGTTATTGTCTTAATTACATTCTGCTACCAGCTGAACTACGTCTATGTCCAATACCCATCAGTACATTTATATCTCGGAAAGTCCATCTTGAGAAATTAAATTGAAACCGCAGATACTGGAACATGGGCTCGAAAGTATGAGACTAACTATTTGAAGTATCTTTCATGGAAAAAGAATAATCAGTGGATCCAAAAATCAGTGTCAAAAATAAGACCGCAGAAGGATGGTAATGTATTACAAACCACGCGTAGACACGCATTTCCGCCGCTGTCCTTTTAATTACATATGAGTTTGTCTTGATCTGGGTAAAAACCTCATCATGCGTCGCAGTTGCACTCGCAGATCTGTTAGAAATAATTGAAGCATGCAGGCAAGCAGTCGGACTTGGCCGCATCTGCACCGACATGCAGGTGACTCTCTCCGGGCAGGGTCACACCTACCTTCTCAGCAACCTGAAACCCCTCAGATGCATGCTAAAGCTTTTCTTTTTTTGTCTCCGAAAGGGACAAAAGACCAGGCAAGCTGCGGATGGAGTAAGCTGTGCGGCCATTTCCGTGCCGAGAAGCCCGCTAGCCTGGCGGCTACAAAGCAGCCGTTTCCCTGTTACCGACCGAGTGACAACGCATCGGCCAGTGCCGAGAAAGTTCGACTAGTTACCTAGTTAGTTCTTCTCCAAGCTACGGAAGGTGATTCGGTTGTGGGGAGCGAAAGCCGGCGACATTACCGCGGTCGACCCAGGCCCCAGCATAGCGGAAAACCGGGCAGCCACATCTCTTCTATTTGAGACGGGCGATTTCTATGGACCTGACGGTGGATTAAAGTACCGGATAAGCCCAAACATAGCGGCTTAGAAGCGCAAAACACATTCATTAATGCATCCCCCTGATTCTTAGGTCGATTGACTTCCACCTAATTGAACAAATGCTAAGAAAACATCTGGCGAAACGTGTCATACTGACTACTGGAAGTTTGAACAGAGTTTATTTAATGCCCGATCTGGGCACGGTTTGGTTATATACCAACAACTAACGGGAGGGATCGGTTAACGCACGGATAACCACCTAGGAAAACTAAGCAACCCCACACAAGTCTCTCCTCCCCGGGGAGAGGTTGCACTGTTAGCATTAGCAAACGGCAGCAGCCAGGCAGGATCTCCAGCGTCTTTAGCTAGGACGCAAGAAAGAATAAACAGCCACGATTAGAAGATAAATCTAAAATCTTAACTGCCAAAACAGTACATAAAGTTTTCCCAGGTTTATTAGATACCATCTACACGTGCGAAACGTTTAAGAAACTTAACAGCATCAGGGAGAGAAATCATACACGTTTGCAGCCAATCTCGTCCCCCCTTCCCGTCCTTTGCTGATGCTACAACGCCAGCTGATCGCCACCCATGAGATGTCAAGTCTACTTTTCCAGACCGTGGCCCGAAAAAAAACCCAAATCTGTGCCCCGTTGTCCCCGGGTCTACCTGAGGCGGTGTACCAGCTGCCGGCGTGACTTGCTTCTCTGTACACCACTCGGTTCGACATCTTAGTGCCCGAGCCACCTATCTTGGTCAGTTAACAGCACGGAGAGAAGCACAAAAATATAAAGGCAGCCAACCAGCAACGGACAAATTTGGGGGTTGTTATCAGAGGGGGGCCAAGAAGAAAGTGAAGGATTAATTCAAAATACAGTGTTTGCAGGTTTTCGTGGGATGCACAAAGAAAACGGAAATATCCGAAGTCAAAACAAAAGATTGTCTGGAGCTCAGCTAGACAAGAACAAAAGCCTAGGACAGCATGAATTTAATGATACAAGAGTACTGTTCGCCGGTAACTGGTTTGGCATAAGTCGGCTACCGTGCCTGTGCAGTGACAAGTTAGTTTTCATTGGCTGAAAATGTGTAGGACTCTTCCTATTCGTCGTGCGATGAAGGCAGGTAACGAGGTTTACGTGGAGTGGCTACGGGAACATAGTAATAAACCCTATTGGCTGATTTTGTCACCATGGTCACAGGGAAGATCAAGGAGAAAGGTTACCGTGGTGACGTCAGGTTAATGAAAGGAAAAAAAAAATCAATGATAAAGTGTTAATATTTATTCCTGATGAACAAATATAGCAGGTATTGATATTCGTTTGGAATATAACACTTTTCTTTACAGTTTTTTTACAGAATCATTTTTAAATTGCAATTTTGTGAAAACGTGTCACTGATTTAAAGCTATCGCTCTGTTGGATTAATTTCAGTTCCCACGCTATATTTAAGGCCTATATATTTATAGACCTTGAGAGGTACATGTGAGTTAAATACCGTTATAATGAATGCAAAACTTTTGGCTTCGCTTAGAGCTTGTATGGGAATCATGTACAGTGGGTATTTAGACAATCTAATATTCAATAAGATTTTGCGACACTGTAATATATTTACGCAATGAACAGACATTAGAAATATTCAAATAATCCTGAGAACATGACTATCGCCATGTTACTATGGCAATAATGAAACGTTTCTCGGTAAATGTTAACTTCTCTTAATCCAACTCGTTTTATAGAAGTTTCCAATCTCCCTTATATAAAAGGGGTTTTCCGCTGTCACGTGATTGCCTTCGCGATCAGCTGATGCGCTACTTCCTGCTTTCTTTAAACGAAGTGAAAGCGCTGCTCGCCAGTATCCAACTGGACGGTACATTTCTTGCTCTTTCCTTATCGATGTCAAGCTGCAGTCCGCAGTGGCAGGTTGGCACATTTTTAAATACGCTTTATTGCCACAATTTAAACATAGAAATCAGCTTTCACTTAGTCCGAATAATGAAGTAGTTAGCTAAAGTGTTGGTGTACGTCACATGAGCAAATGTAGATTATATTTCGGTCCTGGTAGCTAATGTACCCATGTTTATCTTGTCAGTTTGTAATGTACTTTACTGGAAATTGTATTGTATTGTAGTAAAAAACAAAACGATCTCGAAAATAATATTTTATACATAACATGGATCATTTGTATGCCGCTAGGCGTGGATATATTTTTTATAGATCTTAATGATTTCCCACTATTTATAACTACATAGCGACATAAGGCATACATATATCATTTGTTTAGTATGAAATTATCGAAACTGCTCCATTTCGTGAACGTACAGTATTTAGGTGTGTAATGAAATAATTTCTTGCCTGGTCTCCGTTCTTTCCTTTAAGCTGTAAGTTGTGGTCTTCGTGAACCATCTATTCATGAATACCTCGGATAGCGAAGAGGAGTTTTATAATGAGAGAACAGCCTTGGTCACTACTGACAGTCCAACCATGGCAACATACACTCAAGACTCTGAACTTCCAGGACCAGTTGTCACAGAAAACAAAACAGTATGTGTTTCCCCTGTGGATGGCTCAGTGTGATATTTTTTGAGGAAGAATTGGTTTGTTCTTGTTGTAACTGCCTGGTACTCTGTTTCACTGTCTGCCAGGGTGCCTCAGCAAGACTTGCCCGAGGAGCGAGGGAAGGGGAATCTGCAGCAGACAGTGAGGATGAGGAACTGACCCTCAAATATGGAGCCAAGCATGTAATCATGCTCTTTGTGCCTGTGACACTGTGCATGGTGGTCGTCGTGGCAACAATAAAGTCAGTCAGCTTCTACACCGAGAAGAATGGCCAGCAATTGTATGTAGCTTTGTTTTTTTTTTAATCCATAAAATGAATATGCCAGAAAACATGTTCTCGCTGGGTCGTTTTGAATAGGAAGAATGATTTGTTTGTGGTTTACGTTGGCAGGATATACACCCCTTTCACTGAAGATACACCATCAGTAGGCCAGCGACTCCTCAATTCCGTCTTAAACACCATCATCATGATCAGCGTCATCGTGGTGATGACCATCTTCCTCGTCGTGCTTTATAAGTACCGCTGTTACAAGGTCAGACCTCGTGAAGTCATTTTACGCAGCTGCCATATTTAACATAAAGCAAACAGAGTTAACCTTAGTTCTGGCTAATCATAGTTGACATTTTCTGGCACTTCATGCTGCATTGCTGGCTCAATAGTATAGATATTGCTAAATGACATTAAATTTAGGATGATATCTATATATACATGTATATACTCACTAGAGTCTTTTTATTTTTGCTGTAGTTCATTCATGGGTGGCTGATTCTTTCATCCCTGATGTTACTGTTCTGGTTTAGCTTCATGTACCTGGGGTGAGCCTTTTATTCTGATCCTGATAATACAGAATTGCGATTATGTAGGAAAATATGTCATTGTCCATTTTTTTTGTCTGTGCAAACCTTGGTTGGAGTTGCTAACTTTTCTGTTTATTCTAAATAAATTATTCTAAACCGCCGACTTAAACGTGCCCTTCCCCGATCGCCACACTCTGCAGGGAGGTGTTTAAGACCTACAATGTGGCGATGGACTATCCCACATTGGTCATGATCATTTGGAACTTCGGAGCGGTGGGGATGATCTGCATTCACTGGAAGGGTCCGCTGCAGCTTCAGCAGGCCTACCTCATTGTCATCAGCGCCCTGATGGCCCTTGTCTTCATCAAGTACCTGCCCGAGTGGTCAGCCTGGGTCATTTTGGGGGCCATCTCCATCTATGGTAAAAAAGGCCGTCCTTGCATCGTTTGAAATTCCTCAATGCAGTGTTTCCCAATCTGGTCCTCGGGGACCCACAAACTCATGTTTTTGCTCCCTTCAAGCTTCCTACCAGACGGTCCATGTTTTTGCTCCCTTCCAGCTCCTGTTAGGGTGAACATGGATAGGCAAGTTTATTAATATGGCACAATTGAAACGCAGTTCAATGTGATTTACAAAGGCAGAAGGATACGTTTAATTAAAAGACATTAAAATCACTTTTAAAAGACAAATAATAGGAGTAATAATAATAATATTACAAAAAAAAAAAAACCTAAAAGCCAGACAAACATTTAGTTAACCGAAAAGAATTTATATTGTAGTGGCAGAGAATGACTAAACTGATTTAATTTTTTGAAAAGCTGCAGCAGTGATTTAACAAATGATTTAAGCGAAGACCTTCTGGACTGTGTGGACTTTCTGGCAAGGAGCTGAGAGGGAGCAAAAACGTGGACTGACTCTGGCCCCCCGGGAACTGGACTGGGAAACACTGCCTTAAGGCACTACTGCCAGAAATAGAAAAAGATTTTATTTAAATTTTTTTTGCAGTTGGGATCACTATGGTAGCTTATCCATCCCATCATTCGTACACAATCAGCAACTGCTTGTCTAACCTGGGATACAGTGAGCTTGTGAATCCCCGGAAAGCATAAGGGCTACACTCTGGCTGAGACAATTTTTGTACTACAGATCCCCTAATTGCATTTGCCTACTGTTATAGCTTAGTCTGAATGCTCTGTATGAGGGCTAGGATATGAAACAGGAGGTGATGCAAAGATTCTTGCTTTTGGCAGACCTGATCGCAGTACTGAGTCCCAAAGGACCTCTCAGGATGCTGGTGGAGACGGCCCAGGAGCGCAATGAGCCCATCTTCCCTGCCCTCATATACTCCTGTGAGTTTGATCCCCCCCCCCCCCCACCACCTGGGACCAGCAGCGTTACTGTCTCCCACTTCACTGGCAACACATCTAAGTAATCGCATCACTAAATCTGCACTCATTGACACCCAATGTAGAAGAAGGTTCTCTGCTCTAGAAATGGATTCACTGCCGGGGTCCTGTTTTTAAGTTTTGTGGAATGGTTTGAACATCATGCCGAAACCAGTAGCTGTGAAGCTCACATGCCAGCTCTTTTGCCCTCCAGCTGCCATGATCTGGATGGTTGGCATGGCCAGACCGTCATCTGAGCAGAGGGATCAGGATACAGGTCAGAGAGCACTTTTCATTCCTGGTGATTTACTGACGTGCTTTTATAACATCTGCTTGAAGTTCCTTTGATGCTGTGATGAAAGGTTAGTGTGCCTGTTTCTTATGTTTGATATATGCACAGATGCATGTACAGTAAAACCGGTCTAAGTCGACACTCGCGGGACCAGCTTTAAAAGTGACGACTTAGGTGTATCTCGTCAATGCTCTAAGTCGACACTTCGGCGACTTATGTCTATCTCGCCGTTTTGCCGACACCATACCTCTACTACACCACACTATACACGCGAGACTTAAGACCAGGGAGCGACTAGTGCGATAGGTGGGGATTCCCCGTTTCTACATCGCCGTGGTGACAAGCAGGCGGCGGGAATGCAGCAATTGGGGTGTCGACTTACAGGTAGGAAAATCCATTCATTTGTGTTGTTCGGGATTTAGGTGACGACTAAGGGAATTTGACGACTTACAAGCGGCGATTTACACAAGGAATTTTAAAGGAAACATTATTAGGAAAAATCGGGACTTTTGCTTGAGCGTCGACTTCTGCACATTGACGAGTTACAAGCCGGCGACTTAGACCAGTTTTACTGTATATATAGTTCAACTGCTAATTCAGTGAAGGGTTATGGTAAGTCTGGGCACAAGTCTATCTTAGGGCACACACACTATGTGAGACACCTAACCCGAACAGGAAACCACCACACACTCACAGAGATGTGATGCAACAGCATCCACTGAGCCAGCATGCTTCCCTGTCACTGAGTGACTGCCTTAATATCTCAGTAATATTTAATTAGTATTTTTATACGTAGACCACTGAGAGTGCAAATCCCCGGTTTCCCATACGTCCCCTGCAAAGAGGCCACATTTGCTCACTTCAGGCATCTCTGGAGGTTAGTCCGGTGGAACCCATTCTCTGGGTCTCCCAGCTGAATGTGCCGTCTTTGTCCACCTCAGACGAGGAGGCGCACCAGAACAACGCAGAGAGCCTGGAGAGGAGCCAGGAGGAGCCCGAGGACCAGGCGTTTGTGGGAAGGAGCAGAGCCTATTCTGCCGAGGAGGAGCAGGAGGAGGAACGTAAGTAGCTGAGACACAGACCCTAGTTTGCCAAAGAACTGCCAGCCGTCGTCTTATGTGCAAAGCCATGTGACCTCTGGATAGCAACTAAGCATCCATATTTCGTGTTCTATTATAATTATGCTCCATATTTTAAGGGATTATTTTGGTTTGATAAATACTGAAGAGTCTTCTTAGCTTCATTGAGGGCCTGTTTTCTCTTTTCCGCAGGGGGGGTAAAATTAGGCCTGGGAGACTTTATCTTCTACAGCGTGCTGGTGGGGAAAGCAGCCGCCACTGGGGGAGACTGGAACACCACCCTGGCCTGCTTCGTGGCCATTCTCATCGTAAGCGGCTAATGCCCGTCTCAATCCCATAATGCCCTGCTTTGCTTACAGTTGGCAGGAATGTGAAGTCAACACAGTCCGTACTGGGCAAGTAGAAAATGAACTGTTAGGTTAGAGCAGAGTTCTTCAACTCTGGACCTCGATTCCAAATCCAGGCCATGTTTTCAGTTCTCCCAGGTAGTTGTTTAATCATTACTGATTCTGATTGGTCAGAGGCTTCACACCTGACTGACAGGTAAAGGAAGGCTGGAAAACCAGCAGTGCTCGGACCTCGAGGACCGTGAATTGAATAACCCTGGGTTAGAGGTTAAGCTCCACTTTTTAAGAACTGTTTCTCTCCCTCTTCCTAGGGACTTTGTCTCACCCTTCTTCTGCTGGCCATCTTCAAAAAGGCCCTACCAGCCCTCCCCATCTCCATCACCTTTGGCCTGGTATTTTACTTCTCCACTGACAATTTGGTCCGGCCATTCATGGACAGCTTAGCCGCTCATCAGTTCTACATCTGACTGCTTCCAACAAGGAGCACGATGGTCACTGACATGACATACAACGCACAGTTTGATTTTGTTAATAGCTGTACATTAGTGTGTGTGCGCGTGTGTGTTTTGTAACCCTATTACAATGTTTTTTTTTTTTTGTATAAAAATCAATATTATATCAGTACTTTAGGACTTAATTGTAAGCCCGAACTGCATTGGATATTTTAGTGTGTGAATGAAGTAAATTGTATAATTGCAATGCCTCAAATTCTTTTTTTTTTTCATTTTACAAACAATTCATGACACCCAAATCTTCTAAATCGTAATAAAGGACTGTATCTCGGTAAAGGAATGTATGCAACAGAGAACCAGTACAACAGAAACCACAACTTTCAGAAGAAAGTTTGCTGTGTGAAAGTTGACTGAGCTGAAGTGTACTGGTCTTTTTTCACAGGTTTCATTTTAAAAGTTTAAAACTATTTATATTGAAACACATATCCAAATATGTTAGTAGGTAACTTTACTTGTTACAAATGACAGTTGTTCTTGAGTGGATTGTGACATGTACTGTATCAAGCCATCTGCAATAAACAGGTTAAAGTACATTTTTCCCTTCCTTCAAGGATTATTGTTTACAACTTTGTTGCAAGCCAGTCATCTAAATAAGAGCCAAGAAAGATCTAAATTCTGATAAATTAATGTACAGCCAACAGCAGAGCCATATAGGGCAATTCCAGCAAAACTCAGTAACTTCATGTGGTTTATCCTGTTTACTGCAGTAAAAATTGTGCTTGAAGCTCACATAGTTTTTGAACAGTTTACATTAATATGATTCAATATTTAGTCACAACACAGGACAGCTGGTTCACGATTACTGTACAGTTGTATTAGCAGGTGACATACTGTCTAGGAGAGAATCTTGCATGGCTTATTCTATACCAGTCTGCAAGTGGTAGTTTAATGCATTTCCAAGCTAATCTGGGGATCTTTTCACCAAGAACTGAGTCAATTAAGGATTAGTCCACTACAAAGGGTAATGGGGTTGGATCTCTTTAAAATGTGAATGTCATGACAAAGAAGTTTTGTTTTCAAACTTAAAGCACAATTGACAAACAGATAATTAGGAATTCATGCATATGTGATGCTGATACTTGATCAGACATGCTAATCTGCAACCATCTTAATTATGTATTCTTTAAATAGGAATAACTATGCACCTTGAATACATAAGAATTATCTAAGTAACTTTGAGGCAGGACTCATCTTTAAAATGAACCCCTGTGACAGTGTAGGAATATGAAATACCACACTGGTGAATACAAGTATTCCTACAATCAGCAGACTCATTTTGAAAATAATGTGTTTCAGTGTGGACAAGTCTATATAACAGGCACACTTATATAATATTCCAGTTACACACTGTTAAGTGGCAGAATGCTTCTTTTTAATTTACATTTCACTGCATGCATTATAAAACCGTAATTAGCAGTACCACAGCCGCAGTGGTTCATTAATAAAAAACGGCCACAGAGTACGTCTTCAGCTGCCTCCCCATGTGTTAATTTCGATCCTCAAACTGTGACTTGTTCTTGAGAAGATGTGCTGCTAAAAATTCAATAGGATTTTGAGGTCTGCAAAACAAAGTGACAAATCAGTGATATTTAAAAAATATTTTATCACTGGCACTGAACAAATCAAACACAACAGCTGCAAACTGAGTATTTAAATCCACCTCCTTCCCACACCTTTGACTTCTATAACCTACCTCTCTTTGGCCAGCACTGAAAGACTCTGTAGGAGAATCGGAACAACCGTCTGATCTAAATATGCTCGTGTTGGTAGGGCTTGCAGATCCACCTTCTGTTTGGCAAGTTTATCCATGCTGGCCTTCTCGTTTTCAGCTATTCTCTGAAGACAGAATAGTAAATTGCGTTAAGACACTGACATTGTTTAGGTAGATCTCACTATAGGTCACAGAATCTCATGATATTTGGGACGTTCAATACCTTAACGTTTTCAGAAAGACCATATTCAGCATGCGGATTTTCTGCAACCTTTAAAGAAACGAAATATGCCAGTTGGTTTAAAACAGCCGTTCAAAAAATTAAGTAGCGGGCGACTTAAACTCACTGGTGCCTGTCCTTCTGTGACTTGTTCCATATCGTTGTGATCTTGGGAGAGAAACAATTCCATATTACTTCAGCTTTAAAGCTTACGCATTGATTTAGCTCTATGCAACTACGTTACATTACTATCATAGTAACCATACTGAAAAAAATTATTTTGTTTTTGCTATATTACATTTTACGTTAACAATACTACAGTTGAGTAGTACGACCAACGACAAAAATGCCATGCTAGTGTTAGCAATTAGGAAATCCTCGTAAATTTTAAGATTAACTATCAATAAAAATATATACACCGTTAAAACTGAGCCGTGCAGCTGAACACTTATACGTATAAAACTACAAAAACAACGCGGAATGTTTTTTCCCTTTAAAGGTTTCTTAGGCAAAATATCAGTGACCTTATGAATTAACATCAAAGTAATTTAGCGCTATAGGAAACAACATGCATTCAGACGATACGATACGATCACGCATCCGCTCGCACTCACTGAAACAATTCATAGAATAAAGGGAAGCACAATACCATCCGCCATCACTGCTGTTGATTTCTCCGTTCCGAAAGCGGAGAAGCGCGGGGAAGCAACCAATTACAGCGCGGGACAAGCGTGTCTCCCATTGGTTCCTCCATGAAACCGGAACTACTTTGTATGACTTTTTAAGGGCGTTGATTGGGCGCTTCAAAGAGAACTTGTCAAATTGATACATAGTTAACAACAAATGTACAAGATACGAATCAGTACACAAGGATATAACAAAAAGCAATTAATAAAAAGGACACAACCAGGCACGTGGGCAGCATCCAAATGAAATGCAATAAGCGATGAAGGGAAGAATTCTATGCAACATGCTTTCAAACAAATGATCGGATTGACAACCTCTTTTATATTTATATAATATTTGTATTCATATTTTCGTCCATTGTGATTTCAGCTAACATTTCCTAAATTCTCTTGCAGGTTTGCGTCCTGCGATTTGCCGTGCCTGGCGTACTTCCTACAACAAACATCCAGACCTGGAACTACATGTCTGCGCACGCGCAGGACGCCGTTACTTGCTCTGTGGAATATCCACCTCTTACTATTTAGTTGTCATATTCCTGCGGGTTATGTTATGTTATGTGATCCCAAATCAGACAGGTGAATTATATCGCATAGAAAAAGCCAAATAACAGAATACTGCTCAGCCGACGTTATGTTAGTTAGTACCCCTAGGATCGGTTACATTTTTCGTGTGTGGTGCTGAGCCTGATAGCCCTGCTCCTGCTACCACTGCTCCGAACTCTGAAGCTTCGTTTTGTTTTGTTATCGAGCTATGGCTGCTGAAGTTAAAAATCCGATGGACATCGGTGATCATGAGTCCGGGGACAGCAGCTCAGATCGCATCCGAAACTGTCACAAGCAGGCATTTGAGTACATATCTCTGGCCCTGAAGATTGACGAAGATGACAAAGGTAAGACAACAGGGCAGTTTTAACAACACGGCGCTGCTTTTTTTTCCGGGTTGTTGCCTCGTAAATTGGGATGGTCACCTGTGTCACCTAAATCACAGCTAGATCCCTGACGTTATTTCACGGTCCTGATTCTGTGGTTTAATATATTTGGCGATGTATTGCCTCACCGCCTTGAGGATTTCCATGTTGTTTTATTTATATGAAACTAAGATAATGAATCTTATTACTTAATACAGTCCAGATACATTTTTTCCTTGATTTCAGACGGTGTTAAGTTTAAGTACTACTCGATTGTCAGACACCAGGGTCAGGCTTGGTGTGAAGTTAGCAAATAAAACATTTGTTTCCCAGTGCAATTTCAGGATGCTCAGAGGGTCATTAATGACCCACAGTAAAACTGATCACAGCTAGAGTGGTAAATGGCACAAACAAATGCTTTCTGACAGATAGCCGTATCTGTTATGCCAACCACTGGGTAAAGCCAGTATCTCTCATTTTCCTGTTTGCCTCTGCATTGGTGATTCCAGGTCAGAAAGAGCAGGCTGTCAAGTGGTACCAGAAGGGCATTTTGGAGCTGCAGAAAGGAATAGCAATTAAGATCACTGGGGAAGGTAATCTGCTCATCATATTCCCCAAAATATTTATTTAAAAATAATACTTTTAATTACTGATTTAGGTTCCCCAAAGTGTTCATGCCCATTTTCAGAGAATTTGTTAATAATCACTGATGAAATCATGTTCTCCTATTGTAACATATCAACATAATTAGTTCACATTATCCAGTCTGTCTCACTGCATCCATTTTTAGTAGCACTTGTTTGCATTTGACCCCTTCCTGTATTTTTGTCTGCTCCTGCTCCTGTTTTACCTGTGTTTTGTTTTACCTGTGTTAGGTGAGCACCGTGACCGGATTAGGCGTATCCAAGACAAAATGACCACAAATCTCTCAATGGCCAAGGAGCGGTTGCAGCTTTTAGGTACGATAATAGCAGTTATGGTCTATTTTTATTTACAGAGTTTCAGGTTTTTTTCCCTAAATACAATTTTGTTGATTTCAAGCAGGATTTCATAATAACTTGTAAAATCTTGCATTGGTGTTGAAGTTTCTGGAGGTTAAATACACAAGGTGCATATTTAACACACTGTGCTCTCTTGAATGAATATTTATAAATGAATGTTTAATTTTCTGTAGAGAGTCGACTGGCTTCCAGGAAAACCATTTTGCCAGCCCGGCCCAGCCTTCCCATGCCTCAGTCAAAGCCAGTCCCTGGAAGTTCCAGAATTGCTGGTGGGCCGTCCTCTTCCCAGCCTAGCCGGCCAGTAGCTCGCGTGTGTAGTGCCAAGGTAAACTCATAGTTATCTCTGAAAGCTACCATCCTCAGCTCCAGTAGAGGTCTTGACTTGCAACCCCCTCCATCTCGTTCTAAAGGGCCCAGTCAGAGCTGGAAATCAACCCAACAGTAAGCCGGCAGCTCCCACACCAGCCAAGAAGAGAACCATGAAGAACTTCAAGAATGTGGACAGCAGGCTGGCCAACCTCATCCTCAATGAGATTGTGGACAGGTGGGAGACGCCGAAATGCACTGTTAGCGACTTGGTGGCAATTTTACCGTTATAGATTTGGAGAAACAAACGTACAATATCAGGTGAATCAGTTGGAGTGTAACTACTGGATTGTGACGATGATAACAGGGAAGTGTGTGTGCGCGTTTGCCTGTGTGTGCATGTGTGTGTGTGCGCGCGCGTGTGTGTGTAGCCAGGTATATATTATGTTGTGGGGACCAAATGTTCCCACAATGTGAAAAAAAAATTTTCTGGTCCCCAGAAGGAAAAACTGTGACTGCAATCAAAAAAGTAAAAATGCAAAAAACCTTTTGTTTTGTTTGATTACTTATGGTTAGGGGTTAAGCTTGTCATTGTTGGGATTAGGATTTGTCCATAGAAATTAATGGATGGTCCCCACAAAGTGTACAAACATGTGCGTGTGTGTGTTTTAGTGGGTCAAGTGTGCATTTTGAGGACGTCGCTGGACAGGAACTTGCCAAGCAAGCGCTACAGGAGATTGTTATTCTCCCTGCCCTGCGACCAGAGGTCAGCTCCCGAATAAGGAGAATTGCATTTAAAATTTACCAAGGAAAATGTAAAAATAACTATACGTTGATGTTATTTTTGTCAACCTCACTGTGGTGGTGTCCCCCCAGCTGTTCACTGGCCTAAGGGCCCCAGCACGGGGCCTGCTTCTGTTCGGCCCCCCTGGGAATGGCAAGACAATGCTGGTGAGTTGAAGAGGTTGAAGACTCGGGGGGGATGCATGATGGTTGTCACCCTATTAAAATGATCTTGAGCTTCCCCTCTAGGTCATTGTGTTTCACAGCAATTTATAGAATTATAGTGAAACTTTCTTTTAAGGGGTTATCAATGCATAGGGTTTATTATTAAGTTTAGTCTGGGTCTGTTAAGTTTACGGTTTATTAAACACACAAGGAAGGCATCACAGCGCCTGTCTTTAATAAAAACACTAATTTAGATAAGATATATGCATCTTACTATCTAGCACATCAGCTACATGTTTAACATCCATTTATAGGGGATCTAATAATACAGGTTGATTAAGTGTGTTTAATGAGCTCGTATTAACAAATTCACTGTGTTCCATTTATCAACCACGATTAGGCTAAGGCTGTTGCCATGGAATCCAATGCAACCTTTTTCAATATAAGTGCTGCGAGCCTCACTTCTAAATATGTAAGTGGATTAAACAAATGACAACATTCTCTCCATAAAATGCAGTATTTTATTGATTAGAGAAGACAGCTTTCCAATTGGCCGGTACCTTGCAGGTTGGTGAAGGAGAGAAGCTAGTCCGGGCGCTCTTCTCTGTCGCCAGGGAACTGCAGCCTTCCATCATCTTCATCGGTAAGGCGTACGTTCGGCATGGTACTCGTGCCGTTTGTCAGGTGTATACAGCAGACACTGACAGCCTGCCCCCTGCTGGCCGCCTCTCCTTCCTGCTCAGATGAAATCGACAGCCTGCTGTGTGAGAGGAGGGAAGGGGAGAACGATGCCAGCCGACGACTGAAGACCGAGTTCCTGATTGAGTTTGGGGGGGGGGTGTCGACGGTGTGTAGGTGCTTCCCTGTCACTGAACCTAGATAGCATTAGGGTCTCAAGCTCCCAAAGCACAAAATTCATTTTTTTTATTTTGCAAAATGTTATTGTGCTGTCATCTTGAGGGTAAAACGACTGCCTTTCAGGTGTTGATTTTGAAATAGCCTTTACCGTCCTTGGATGATTGTGCTGACTGAATTAGCGGTGCCATCCATGCCCGTTCAGGTCCAGTCAGGAGCCGAGGACAGGGTGCTGGTGATGGGCGCCACCAACAGGCCCCAGGAGCTGGACGAGGCTGTTCTCCGGTACTCGCCCCCCGCCCCCCCCCAAGTCACCCCCCAATGAGATCACCAGGCACCCAGCTGGGGATTTTTTTTTTCTATTTATCATTTTATGTCACTTTTGGTGACTAGATACTCTTTGACCGCTTATGTATGACACAATCTTGTAATTAGCATATATAAATAGTAATAGTACAATAATGGCAGTACAGTAAAATCCCGTTATAGTGGACTCGCTTATAACGGAATATCGTCTATAACGGACGAGGTCCACTGGTCCCGGCCGTGCGCCTTTAAGAACATGCAGAAATATCATCGGATATAGCGGACTTGCATATAACGGAATTTCGCTTATAACGAACAAACAATTTGGTCCCCAGGGCCACTTTTAGCTGTAGTTTTGTTCGGCTATAACGGACATGAAGGCTCCGCCTATAAGGTCGCGTGGCGGGATTATTAATAGTCACGCATCTGTTCAGGTAAAGTTGGACTACTACATGTACAATATAATAATCTGTACCACAAGTGTGTCTGCTGGGGTGTGGCATGAGTAAATGGTGTCCTGTAGTTGTGTTCTGGGCATACAGCAACTCTGGATATAACGGACTCTGGACTGTTTTGCCAGGTCCCTTGAAGTCTGTTATAAGGGGATTTTACTGTAGTACCAAATGCAGAATCCTTCCTACTGAATGACATCAGCAACCTGACAGGCTCCGCGTTTGTTTACCCCCAAAATCTCCTGTCTCTGCAGACGCTTCGCAAAAAGGGTGTATGTGGCGCTACCCACAGAAGAGGTGCGTTTCATCCTGTCCATCCCTCGTCTATTCATGCCTGGTTGGGAAGCTCATTCTGAAAATCGTTTCGATGACGTCATTGATATTGACATGGCTTCTCCTTTAAGACTCGCTTCAGACTGCTGAAGAATCTGCTCACGAAGCAGGGGAGCCCCCTCAACCAGAATGAGCTGACGCAGCTCGCCAGGCAAGCCCCCGCTTTGCAAACGTGCCGTTCGGCAGCTACGGCGCCCCCCCCCCCAGCATCACCCCCTTTGTACTGTAGCATTTGTAATATTCCATTTTAACTGCCCCACCAGGGATGCTAAATGTTGGCTTACCGGGAATGAGGGTTTATAAGGGTTTTTATCGTGCAGAATGACAGAAGGCTACTCAGGAAGTGACCTGACCGCTCTGGCTAAGGACGCAGCTCTTGGGCCAATCAGGGGTGAGTTTGGCAGCTCGTCAGACAAAAACAGATCGTCTCAGTTGCTTGTCTTGCACCGTGGCACCCCGATGTTGTTCTTTACCCCCATTCCTGACCCTGCATACATACATTATGTGACCATTATGTACCATTTTGCCCAATCATTTTTCGACAGAACTCCATCCGGAACAAGTAAAAAACATGGCAGCCAATGAGGTAAGATCCTAATACCTGGGACAGACTGAAAACATGAATATTCAGTGACAGGGTGTCATGTACTTAGAAAAATGCATTAAATAAAAGAGTAGCATCACTTTTTTGTGGTATCCATCTTGTATTTCTGAATACTTTTGTATTATTGTATTACTTGCTCTAACGATGTTTAATGTATCACACCCATGTAAAGCACCTTGGGACGATTCTGTTATGAAAGACACTATATAAAAATAAATTGAAATTGAATTGAATATTTGGTAGTACCCCTCCTGGAGCCGACACCTTATCGTGGTGGAGGGGTTTGCGTTTTCCTGTGATCCCAGGAGCTAAGTTGCCCGGGGCTTTATGCCCCTGGTAGGGTCACCCAAGGCAAACAGGTCCGGGGTGAGGAACCAGACGAAGTTCGGCTCAAAAGACCCCATATGATGGAAACAATTATGGAAACACGTTTTCCCTTGCCCGGACGCGGGTCACCGGGGCCCCCCCCTGGAGCCAGG